TCCAGCAGAATTGTTTCAAATTTGGTATTTGAAGTTTGTAATGGATAAGACAAAAAAGGAGCCATGTAGGTCCACGTCTTCGTATAGCCCCATATAACGGTACCCCCCGTTATTCGGTATTTTGATGATATTAGCGATATTATTTACCGGAACTATTTCAAATTTGGTCTTTGAAGTTCGTAATGAATACTACAACCTATGACAGAAAATTGTATGTGCAGATCCACTTTTTTATAACTTCATCATATGCCGGAGGGTATATTTAAGCAAACCGATATGTTAGATCTCAACTATACAAAAAGAAAATGTATGGGAACCTGATAAATATGCTTTGATCTATGTCATCATATGTAGATCAAATGTAGGACAACAAAAATATTTTTTTCTTATTTATTGCCCAATGTCAAAACACAAATGCTACAAATTAAGATTCATTTATATTTCCAGCAACTTCCGAAATGTCATACGTCGCTTCGACAGCTTGATCCATTCAAAACAACCGCTAAATATTTTGTAAATAGACAGACCTCTTTACAGCTACTAATCGATGGGCATATTTTGGTGCTTTAGACATTTCCTATGACTGTGGCGGCATGTCATACGCAGACACCTACATACATGATGCCTATAAATACAGCATGTGTGGTGTTAAAATATCATTTCGAATATCCAATAAAAATCCACGGTCGATATTTATTTTGGGGGGAGAATTAGATGATATTGCTGATGTGATGTGTCAATGGAGGCTCATAAATTTTCTTAATAAAATGTATTGTATTTAAAAATATCTGGAGATAAATAGACTGAAGGGAATATGGAAAAAACAAATCTTGTTTGTGAAGAGAATTTTTTTTTTTTTTGAGAACTTTTAATACTATTGGTTATGATCTTGTAGCCACATTATCCGGTGATTTACCCAAATACCCTGGATTCTATTAAAAAATCTTAAAACCAGTAAAGAAAGTCTAAAAGTCGGGCGGGGACGACTTTATGATACCCTACACCCACTTGCATATTTAGTAGAGCTTCATATAACAAATAAAAACCAGTAAAGAAAGTCTTAAAGTCGGGCGGGGCCGATTTCATGATACCCTACACCACATTGCATATTTAGTAAAGCTTCACATAACAAATAACAGTTTTTATTGGGACTTTGTGAGAATTAAATCATACTAACTATGATTATAGTTATAATCTAAAGTCTAAAGGAACTAGTATATGAGAGGATTATCCTCCTCAGAATTTATTTCTACTAAATTTGCCGAGGCATTTATGCCTTTTCAATTCGGGCTTGTATTACCCCTTTGATGCACAATTACTTTGAAATTCGATAAAGATATATATGGGAGCTATTTCCAAATCTGAACCGATCTCGATAAAATTTGGAAAATGTATCCCTGAACTGTATTTTATATATTTCCCCGAACATCATTACTACCGAGTGCATAATACGGCTGTGGAGAACAAATTGGATGAGCAATAAAGGGTGGGATGAAAAAACCGCAATCAACTTCAAACTGCTGCAATTTCTAAGCCACACGTCCGTCAGCTGTTAAAATTATTCTAGTGACATCTCATTATATTGTTTACAAGCGTACAAAAGCATTTTGGTGAGAATTTTCCAGAAAAAAAGTTATTCGCGATGGAATTCAAGCGTGATAGTGATGTTTTGTGTCTCGTACCATCACTCGTTACCGTGATACTGGTAGCGTAGCCCGACGTCTGGGAACTAGACGGAAGAAAACAGCAAAAATTAGTAGAAATTGTTCGAAAAGTAAAGATGCGACTTGATGGAAACCCGCGCTACAGTTGCCGAAAAATGGATCGTGAGCTCAACATATCGCAATATTCAATTTAGCAAATATTGAAAAATGAGGTCGGAGTAAAGCCATTGAAATTCTAATTTGGTTTTCTCCGATGAGAAAACATTCGTTGTCCAGCAGTTTGTAAACAAACAAAATGATCGTCTTAACTTGCCAAAGAGGTCGCTATCCGCCCGTATAACTTTAACTCCCATACATATATATTTCATCACATATGGTGTTTTAGTCTCACACAACAGTAACATCCACTCCATAACAGTGATATAAAGATATAAAATACAATCAGAAATTTTCGTAAAAATTTTTGCTTCGGGAATCATATTAGTGTAGGGTGTTGTAAATTCGGTTCGCCTGACTTTTAATCTTTCTTTACTGGTTTTCATTATGTCGAAATTTTTGGTCAGTTTCCGACCTTTCTGTGGGCAGACTTACCTATCTCAGAAAATATCCATGCTACAGAATTCATAAATTTCAGGAAGTTGGAGGATAGCCGATTTGGATATAGCTCAAGATATCACATGTGGAACAACATTTTCTTACTGGCCTTAACGATTCTTAATGTATGGGTAATCGTAATTTTGGTTCCTACCATCTATGAGCTCCTTGCGGTTAAAAACAGTCATGTTAGACATATTTTTAGAATTTAGGTTTCACATAAGGTGGAGGGCAATACAGAAAAGCCACACTGCCGCATTTGAAGCCTTCTTAAGCAGTATCATTCTGCAAGCGATTTCATAGTGACTAAACACTTGCTAACCCCAATTAAGACTATAACTGTTCTGAAAGTTGTCCCCAGTTTTAACCAAATTGGATAAATTTATGCATTAAGCGCTTTATCGAAAAACAAACAAAGAGTTAGAGACATTTATCATCCCAAAAAGGAAAAAGTCTATTGGCATATTCATTTTTTTAGCCACGCAAAATATTCATGTATCCATATAAGGTCACCTAGAATCAAAACTTGATCTTCTAAACAAAAACTTCATAATTTAATTATTAAAACATTTCTATGTGGATACAACAAAATGCGTGGTTTAATTTGATGCCAAGACTGAAATAAGAAAACAAACTTTTTATTCATTCTATCATTTGTTTACAAGCGATCAGCCGGCCGGCCAGCTAGGCATCTCTGTTATAGAGTAGAATAAAAGGTATACCAGAAACGTATAATTTTTACAGCAATTGTTTATTACTCCCGGGGAAAAGTTTAATGATCACATCGGCATTTTATAAACAATCAGCAACGGCAGTTTTATGCGGTCTATTATGGGGGAATCTTTGCGCTGCAGTTTATCTTATAGAATGCACTAATAGTGCAGTAATGCAGATAGTATGCACATTAGGGTGCCTCAAAATATTTTAAATACCAAAACAAAAAAAAAAAAAAAACGTTTTGCATAGGAACTTTAGTTTTTTTAATGTTTAAATGTTCCACCGATCTACAATGTTTGCCAGTTCACGTTTTGGCATTAAAGTGTAACAAAGTGAAATTTTTGAAAATAGATAAGATTTTGATTCAGATTCCATGTATGTAGCGATTATAGGTGTTTTAGAAAATGAGAGCCATAATGAAATCATAAAAAAACACTGTTAAAACAAAAAGTACCAGACATGTTACTTATAAAACATTTTAAAAATTTATTATTTAGGACAGTCTAATGTACATGCACAAATTCAGCGGCATGTGCCAACAAACAAAACTTCAACTGCTTGCCATGAAGTTGTTTATTTTATTCGGCATGAAAAATATCTTTGTGGTAAGTGTGGCGAACTATCTGTTTTCTTTTCCTCAACCAACTGTAAATAATTTTGATTTTTACAAACAGAACGTTTACAAATTAATGACTGCATATTATTAGCTTGAACAGATGGGAATTAGTGTTTTTCTGTTTTCTATACTCCCCACCACAGTATGGAGGGTATATTAAGTTTGTCATTCCGTTTGTAACACCTCGAAATATACATTTTAGACCTCACAAAGTATATATATTCTTGATCAGCTTAAAATTCTATCTCGATTTAGCGATGTCTGTCCGTCTATGCAAATCACTATGGCTTCCGAACGAATTGAAGTAGATTGATAACATTTTACTCAAATGTATATTATGTCTGCAGGACTTTTGGTATTGAAAATGGGCCATGTAGGTCCACGTTTTGGTATAGCCCCCATATAGCGGTACCTCCCGATATTCGGTACTTTGTTGATTTTAGCGACATTATTCACTGGAATTGTTTCAAATTTGGCATTTGAACTTCGTAATGAATACTACAGCCTAAGCCAGAAAATTGTCTGTGCTGGTCCAAGTCTTCGTATAGCCCCCATATAACGGTACCTCCCGATATTCGGTATTTTGATGATTTTAGCGGCATTATTCACCGGAATTGTTTCAAATTTAGTATTTGAAGTTCGTAATGGATACTACAGCCTAAGACAGAAAATTGTCTGTGCCGGGCAACGTGTTCGTAGTGGTCAACGTGTTCGAATATCTCGCGATATTCGGTATTTTGATGATTTTAGCTACGTTATTCACCGATTTTTTTTTTAGGTTTCGCATTTGAATAATATAATGGCTTATGACAAAAGTTACCTATGCAGGTCCATGTCGTAGTATAGATCGTAATATAATAGCTACATTCGGTAGTTTTAAGATTTTAACAGAATTTTTAAGGGATGTTATTGTTTTTGAGTATTGCCAAATTCGTTCCAAACGGTAGAGGGTATTCAAATGTTTACCAGGGGGTAAGGCAGGGAATACCTAGGTTTCGGAAAGAGCTACCAATCCTCATTTGTTCCCTTGTTTTCTGTCGGGGGTATTCTCCCCAGAAGTTATTTTGAAAATAACTTCTATGACAAAAAACATTTTTTACCCAAAGTGACGAGATTGTAAGCTCAAAGAAGAGGAACCAAAGAATTAAATAAAACTTAAATTCTTTTGGAAAATCTTCTAAATATTACAACAACACTTATAAACATTTACATCTTTCTCCACTTGTTATGCTTTCGTTCAACCTGAACGAAGTAGCATAACCATGTAAGTTGGCTTTGTCTGTTACAACAAAAACCCCTTCGTCGACCGTGCCTTGTCTATTAATAGAACAGTGTTTGGCTTGTTTGTTCGATATACCATAGTATTTTGTAGTTGCAAAATTGTCAGGCTTAATCCCTTTATTGTTGTTTTTAAAAAAACAACGTTTGTTTAATAGTGGAGAAATTGTCAAATCGTCTCTAATTTGGTTTTGTTTACCATGCCATGGTCCTAAGTTAGAGTGTAGTTAACCATTTTGTTTTCTCAGTTAGGTGTGTATTTCCTTTTTAAAAATCAATATTTGAATCAAACTTACTCAGATTGTACATATTGTTTTCAGAATGGGAAAGAATTTCTTCAGAGAAATCTGTTAGAACAATCTTGTTTACCATGTATTCAGCAGAATCATCGGAATTGGGTGTAGCTTAGCATTTGGAGTCACAGGATATCGACATATAAATTATGTCACTATTTGGCAAATATCACATTTCATTGCAGAAAATTGTTGGAAAGACCCATCCGGATTTAATTTTGCTCAAATTTTCATTTCGGTTTCTCAGGTTCGTTGCACGTTCAGATGGGGAGGGATATAAATTTTGATCCCAGAAAAAACAATCGGTCGATTTATTCATACTCCTTCAAATATCGATATCTGTTAATAGAAATTGTATGATAGAATTGTATAAATGTCAAATTGTTTTTTTTTTATGTGTGTTTGGATATTATTATTATTTTTCAATTTGTGTTTTCTGAAGTGCGTCGACTTTTGCGTAACATCATAAACCTAAAAGTATTATAAATACCGCTGCTTGCTCCTACACATCTGACATAAGGTACTGCTAATAGTGGTCCCCATCGGATCATTTCTTGCATAAGGCGAGAGAAGGCATTTACAACCGCCAGGTCTCAAGAACAAATACTATCAGTAATCTAATCAGTAATATCAAATTTCAGAATTTTATTTCCGTCCCTTTGTTGAATACCCAATTTAGTAACATTTAGTGCTTTTCCTACAGTTATAATTTGCATTTGCAAAACCACCTCCATATCTTAACTCCAGATACCAATAACAAATTTGAGGATCGGGCTGGCCCTATCCTTTCACACAATACCAAATTTAGTACCATTTAGTACTTTTCTTACAAATATTGGATACATTTCCAAATCACCGACAAATCTCAAACACAGGTACCATCAGTAAACTAAATATCAAATTTTATCTCTGTACCCTCGACCTATGTGCTACACATGAACAGCGATCCCAATGCCAAATTTCAGATTTCAAGCACTATCTGTTGACCTAACCCAATGGTAGCTAGCATAGTACTCTTCATGCACTTGTAGTACACGTTTCCAAGACCACCTTTTTGTAAGAAACCTACCCACCAACAGGGACTCAATACCAAAATTTCAAATTACCAACTTCTTCCGCTCACCTAAATCGAGATTGTACCAAATTTAGTACCATTTACTAAAGTTCTTACACTTGGTATACATTTCAAAAACCACCTTCTTACATCAACCCAATTTCCAAGAAGTGATTTTCATATCATATTACAACATTCTAACAAAATTGTAGGGCATTTTATAACTTTTTGCACACGTATTATTAGAACCCTCTATGCTACACAACATCAAAGACTCTCACTCCAAATTTCAGATTTCCTGCTCCAATACTCCCCCAAATACAATTGTTAATACTTTTCGTACTTTTTAGTTCGTATTTCTAAATAGTACTGGAAAAATAGTACTACTTCAAATATATTTGATATGTTCCACAACCTGCAAAAATCTACTAGTTTTGCAAGTTTTTCCGATATTATTAAGTAAAACTCGGTCATCGTTCAGATAAATTATGGAGTGTGGTATTTATAAATGGAGGGCTCACTGCTATACCGAACCAAGTCATGAAAAATAGAAAATGCCGAAATTAGTGCCAATGTCCCCGTATATGGAAACTCTGTTTACCCTGTAAAGCACAATGTCAAAAAGTGTTTCGTTCCAATGATGACAGAAAAAAACCTAAGTCAACGACTGTCATTTTCGACTTTTTTTCAAAGCAAAAATGAACTAAGTCAGTATGTTTCACTTTGAATCAGTACTATTAGTGAGCACGTGTTTATTGTCTTTCAGTTTTCAGCAATATTAAAAAATCTGTGTTTTCTATAAATGGATAGTAATAATAGCAGAGCAAGTGATTTTTCCAGTAATGAAAATGAGGAATATTTGCCAGCCCCAAAAAGACGGAAATGACGAATTTTTTATTTGTAAATATTTGTTGAAACCATGGTAAAATTAAGAAGGTAAAGTCATTTCATATAAGCATATCCATCTCGGCATTTTGTGTAATTTACTCTGTCAAATTTCCCTGCCTAGATAGCAGGTTCCCATCTCTGATTTGTATGTACAATGGATTTATAAATATACATTTTGACAATGAGATGTTGTCAAACGCATAACTTAAAAAAAAGGTAAAAAAAAGTAAGTACCATTTGGTACAAATTTGGAAATTTGCAAAAGGTTAAAATCCATTAAAATTTCTGTTAAAATCTTAAAAATACCGAATGTAGCCGTATATTAGGGGCTATACGAAGACGTGGACCTGCACAGACAATTTGCAGTCATTGATTTGAAAAAGTTCCGATAATACCGTTATATGGGGGCTATACGAAGACGTGGGCCTACATAGCCCATTTTCAATATCAAAAGTCCTGCAGACATAATACACATTTGAGTACATTTTTATCACTTACATCATTTCGTTCGGATGCCAGAGTGATTTCCACAGCCGGACGTACCTAGCTAAATCGACATAGAATTTTATGCTGATCAAGAATATATTATGGGTTCTAAAATGTATATTGCAAGGTGTTACAAACGGAATTACAAACGTAATATACCCTCCATACTATGGTGAAGGGTATAAAAATGTAAACATGACTTTACCTTCTTATTTCTACCATAGTTGAAACCTTAAATTTTCCTTTATCCCTGTTAACATTAATTTATTTAAAAAAAAAATTAATTTATTTTATTTTCCTAAAAATCACAATTATTGTCAATTATAATAGAAGCACCTGCAGATACAACTCCGAAACTAGTGGAAAATTAATTACTATAGTTAACTATATTTAGTCATATAACGAACACTTTATTTTATTTTTTTTTGACTTGGTTCGCTTTAGCTGTGAAACCTTGAAATTTTATTCAGAGTAATAATGAACCAAAGTAGATTTTTTTGTTTTTGAATATTTTTTTAGTAATATATTTAAATTATTTTTATTTTAAATTAATATAATTAGTTAATTATGATTATAGACTTTTATATTTTCTTTTGGTAGACTAAAATATTCCTTCCAGAAATTAATGAAAGTGCATTTACTTTACCGCTAAATATCTTTGAATTATGTTTTTATGACTTAGTTCGGTATAGCTGTGAGCCCTTCAAATAACGGTATAGAATATTAGAATATTATTTGTTAAAGTTGACGTATAAGAAGCTTCCTTGCGAATTTATATACATATTATGTTTTTTTTTTTTTTTAAATTTAGTAGAATACTAATAGCAAGTGCACGACCATTCTCACAAATTTCAAATACGTATACATTTCAAGAGATAAGATTCATATTAGCAATGTATTAGTTAATATTCAACGAAGATATATGTGCATATATTCAGTTCGTAAGATATATGTGTGCACCTCGTTAGATATGTCAAAACATTTCTGGTCAGATGATGATCAGATTGTAAAAGTGATTTGGTGGTGGCGTCACGACACATAAAAGTCATCATAAATTCGAAATGTGTATTTTTACTCGTTGTAAGAGCGACAAATTTTTGAATTTATGAATGCTCTCAACGATATGCCCTATGAATAATCGGCAAATGCCCATTCATTCATTTGTTGTCGAAGCTTTTTGTCTTATTTGCAACATATCGACATCGACGGTTGTCTCATAAAAGCAGTGCTTACGGTAAAAAAAAAAACGATTAGTGATTTTGATAATTCATTATTAAATGGAAAAAAATATGCGTGGGTGGAATAAGACATTCCAATTTGCCTTTGCTGTTTTCAAAAGTCACAAACAGAGTGACAAAATATGTGGAGAACAATTAGGATCAAGAATTTATTTTTGTATCACCTACATACCCCTTCAATATGGAATTGAAAAATTAATGTCTTAAATTTATATAATCTAATTTTAAATACATACGTACAAATGAAATCTTATTAACATATAGCCTAAGTTCGGCATGTCCCAGTGGTAGGCACTTTTTATTTTTAAGCCTAAAAAAATGAAACTATTATAACTAAATGTATTTTGTTTACTTCAAATATATTGTCAGCTATCGTTGTGCACAATTTCGCTAAGAAAATATGAATTATTCTAATAAAAATTAAATTTTTGTCTGTGAAGTTCCTTAACAATATAAAAAAAATATAATATTTTAATGAATTAATTCATTATTATTATTAATTATTCTTACAAAAAAATTGGTATGCCGACTGTTGGAAAATGCCATACGGACAATTGGCAAGTGGTGCCGACTACTGGCAAAAAAGCATTGTTTTAATAAAAGTACTAATTTATGAAATTTAATAAAAAGTTATTAAATCTTGATTTATTATTGCAAAAACTATACAAAATTTTGAATCTGAATAAATTAACTTTGTATCAATTGAAAAGTTCCGCTCAGAATGGTGAACGATTGAAAACGCGAAAATCCTAAAAGTGCCGACTACTGGTACACTTACCCTATGTAGATATTTAGACATTTGCAGTAATTCAAATCTGACACATTAAAAATTTAATACTTTTTGGGGATAATTTGACTAATTCGTAAAAAAAAACTATTTATTTTTTAGAATCCGCTATTTCACCACTGTTATTTAATTTGCATTCTTATGATTAGTATTTAAACTCACAATTCACGACCAAAATCGGATTATCGTTTCGCTTTCTATGCAGTTTTTTTATTTTTTTTTTGAAAATTTCGATTTTTTGTGTGGAGGTACCAGAAGGAGTAGGCCGATATTGATCTAAGTTTGACAAAAATATTACGATGTACCAAGTTTGGCTCAAATCGGATACTCCCTTCGAGAGTTATCGTGCGCACCAACCAGCCAGAGATACCGACATTGCTAGATCGACTCCAAATGTCCTGAAACGGGTTTGGTCCAAAGAGGCCTAGGGTCTAAACCCGTTATTTCGATGACACGTTTTGGCCGTATCAAATGATATATACCCTCTGTAGCCATTGGCTGAAGGGTATAAAAACTTGAAATTTTGGTATGAGAATCAAGGTTGGCTAAATGGTACTAAATTTGGAACAGGTTGGTTTAGTGTGAACGAATAATGCTGGTTTTGGAAATGTGTACTATAATTGCTCGAAAAATAGTAAGTGGTACTAAATTGGGTATTGGGTAAAGCGATAGGGCTTGAATCCCAAAATTTGACTCTGCTATACTGAGATTTGGGCGTGGTTTTGCAAATACGTACTATTATATAATAGCCCGGTGCGCTCGCTACCTCTATTGGTTTTATATGCATTCAAAATTGTATATACGAACAAAAAAATAATAAAACAAATTTAAGAATTTAAAGAACGTATTTATTGTAATACTTTAATGCGTAAACAAACAAATAGCTCGGTCTACCAACGCGTAAACTTGCCTGGCACAGCTGACCATGAGAAAAGCAGG